TCATCCAGTCGTCATATCCAAATATATCGAAGAAGCGAAGGAGATTGAAATGGATGCAGTAGCATCGGATGGAAATTTATTGATTCATGTAATATCAGAACACATCGAGAATGCAGGTGTACATTCTGGGGATGCTACTCTAGTATTACCGCCTCAAGACCTTGACCCCGAGACTGTGAGTAAGATTAAATCGGCAACAGAAAAAATAGCTAATGAATTAAATGTAACGGGACCATTCAACATACAGTTCATAGCAAAGAATAATGATATTAAAGTAATAGAATGCAACTTGCGTGCGTCAAGATCCTTTCCTTTTGCTTCGAAAGTCATGGGAATAGATTTAATCGAAATGGCTACTATGGCTATGTTGGGCATGCCTGCTGAACCAAAACAGCTTAATTTACCAAAGGACTATGTTGCTGTTAAAGTGCCTCAGTTTAGTTTTAGTCGACTATCAGGCGCCGATCCTGTCCTTGGTGTAGAAATGGCATCGACTGGCGAAGTTGCTTGTTTTGGACGGGACAAGTATGAAGCCTATTTGAAAGCATTGATATCTACTGCATTTACTCTACCAAAGAAGAATATACTGCTATCTATTGGATCCTATAAGGAGAAACTAGAAATGTTGCCATCAGTAACCAAATTGCATAGTATGGGATTTAAATTGTTTGCCACGTCAGGAACAGCTGACTTTATTCAGGAACACGGTATTGCAGTCAAGTACTTGGATATCAGCAAAGGAGCTGGACATAAGCCGGAGTATTCGTTGGAACAACATTTAGCGAATAATTTAATTGACTTGTATATAAATTTACCTTCCAAGAATAGATATAGACGGGTCGCCAGTTTCATGAGCAATGGTTATCGTACACGCAGAATGGCTGTTGATTATAGTGTTCCCTTAATAACAAATGTTAAATGTGCCAAGCTATTCATCGAGGCATTGCATAGGAACCCCGATCTTGAAGTTCAAAGCATTGATTGCAAATGTAGTCATGAGACGGTTACACTCCCGGGTCCTTTCAATATTTCGGCTTTTGTGCCTCATAGTGCCGAGTTAGGTAAAAACGACTTTGCTGAGGTCACTAAAGCATCCTTAGCGGCAGGATTCACAGTAATCAACACACTACCAATTGGATTAAACGAGTCATTACGGGATGCTGGTACGATGGCAATTGCACATACAAGTAGCCGTGGTAATGGGCATTGTGATTACGCTTTATCAGTTGCTGCAACTGAGTATAATGTCGAACAAATAACCGAAGTGATTCCGGATGTTGCCTCACTTTTCATACCGTTTAGTAGTTTTGTAAATGCACAGTCACCGAAGATAGCAACCATAGCCAAGCATTTCAGCAGCTGGCCAGTTTTATCACCCGTCATTACAGATGCTAAAGGTAATGACTTGGCATCCGTACTATTAGTAGCTAGTTTACATAGTAGGTCAATTCATGTGACTGGTGTCAGCACTAAAGATGACATTGAAATAATCAGACTCAGCAAGGAGAAAGGTTTGAAAGTTACTTGCGATGTGGCCGTTTACGCTTTGTTTCTGAACACAGAGGACATAGACGGCTGTGCCAACGTTCTTCCGACACCGGCAGATCAATCTGCATTATGGAAACATCTGGATGTCATAGACTGCTTTAGTGTTGGGACACTTCCATATCGCCTTTCCATGGAACTCGGTCGGGAGACATGCGCGAGCGTTGGTATTGAGGAGACTATCCCGTTGCTTTGTAACGCCGTAAATGAGGGCAAATTAAGCATGGAAGATATCAAAAAAAGACTTTACACCAATCCCCGCAAAATATTCAGCATTCCAGAACAAATCAATACATACGTTGAAATAGAAATTGATAGAAAAATCAAAATATCCGATAAGCCAGGAAGATGGTCCCCATTTGCTGGCCAGACTCTATTTGGTGCGGTGACTCGTGTCGTATTACGAGGAGAAACGGCTTACCTTGATAACGGATTTTACTCTGACGGGAACGTTGGTTGTGACATCTCAAGTAAGACTTATATATTTACAAAAATGTCCGCTGCCGAGGAACCTGTGGAAGCTGAACAAAAGCCGCTAGCGATAGGGGTTAATACCCAACCCCCACCCAAAACAACAGTTACATCAGCCAAGGTTATACCTCCATCATATGGGTCTGGTGATATTGTGCCTAAGACTGTTGCTCCTGATTGGATACTTGAGCCACCAGTTATGCCCGCAAATCTCGATCCCTTCCTCAAGAACTCCCCATTTTACCGCAAGCATATTCTATCCGTCAAGGAGTTTACCCGGAATGATCTGCATCTCTTATTTGGAGTGGCCCACGAGATGCGTACGCTAGTAGAGCGATATGGGTCTATCAATCTCCTGCAAGGACGAGTTCTCTTCACCATGTTCTTCGAACCATCGACGCGCACGTCTGCCTCGTTTGAAGCAGCAATGAATCGATTAGGTGGTCGTGTGGTATCTGTTAAAGTGGATAGTTCGTCAGTTGCGAAAGGAGAATCATTAGCAGATACAGTAAGAACTCTGGGTTCGTATGGTGATTTGATAGTATTGAGACATCCAGAACCAGGGAGTACTAAAGTTGCCGCAGAGTTTTCGCCTGTTCCTATAATCAACGCCGGGGATGGTGTCGGCGAACACCCAACTCAGGTGAGTGACTATTGATTTGCTTCGCACTATTTTAGTAATACAACGTTGACGTTATCATCACCTCTCAGGCTTTTCTAGATGTGTACACTATTAGAGAAGAATTAGGTACGGTCAATGGATTAACTGTAACTCTTGTTGGGGATCTCAAGAACGGACGAACTGTACATAGTCTAGTTAAAATTCTCTCGCTCTACCACGTTACTCTCAATTATGTAAGTCCTCCGTCATTGCGTATGCCAGAAGACATTAGGGTCAGTGTAGACAAACAAGGCACTCCACAAAGTGAATTTCCATCCGATGCTACTGCATCCATTTCAATCTCCTTCGCTTCTTCGATATATTTGGATATGACGACTGGATGA